AGTAAAGTCGCTTCATTTTGACGTTTTCCGACAACACTTATTATTATTTGCATTTTCAGTGAATGTATTTATATATTTGCACTGGAAAACGGTGATGTGAATGGAAATATTCCATGGATGTTAAAGGCCGTTGGACTATCGAGGCCTATAAGAATGCATTTCAATCCCAACAAAACCTCTTGTCTCCAAACAGACTCTTTACAGCAGAATAATATTTCCTCATGAATTTCCAGAATTGCTTTAGGGGATTGGATTGAAACATCAGACTGGAAGAAGCGGCGTGTTTTCCTCTGAACTATAACCCTGAGCGCTGATGTTTCCAAACACGGATGAGTCTGAGTGACAAAGACAAATCATTCCCTCCTATGTAAATCAGTTTTCTCTCCATCTTTAGTGACGAGGGGCGGGAAACCGAGCACTTACAACACAAATAGCAAAACACATCATTCATCCAGCATCTGAACAGCTCGTCTGCGCTCGCCCGGAGGCCTGCGATTGGCTGGAAATTAAAAATTAAAGGGCAGAAGTGCAGATGAAAAAAAGATGGAGAGAAGAACACGTTAAAGGCTTTATTTGCAAAAAACATAAAGAGAGAGAGAAGGTAACTTGAGTAAAGTGAGCGGCCCGAAACAGAGGAAAGTCCTGAGCATGTACACACACACACACACACACACACATGCCCTAAATGCACAGAGAACCAAGTGGAAACAGAGCTTCACTTTTTCACATCCGGCCCCAAATATACAAACATTAGAGACACTTCCTATCCCCTTTTCAGAAAGACTTCAGAAATCTAATCTGGATAAACTCCCACTCCTGCAAGGAGAAAGCCCAGCGAGCTCAAACCTACGTGTGTGTGTGTGTGTGTGGAGCTCAAACCTGTCATGAAGAAAGAGCCTCCGGCAGGACATGCTACAAACTACACGCCTAGAGACACTGTGTAAATATGAGGAGATTTAACATTTTTATTGCAATGTTTATTTCCATGGAAAAAACTACTTTATTTTTATTTATTTATTTTTATTATGAATGTTTTGGCAATGTAAAGATTTCTTTCACCATGCCAATAAAGCTATTTGAATCGAGAGAGAGAGAGAGAGAGAGAGAGAGAGTCGCTATCATCCCACACACACAAACTGAGAAACCAAACAATTAAAGACGCCGACTGTGGGCTGAGACGCAAGCTGACCTCCAACAGCACTTCCTGTAACACGGATGAGGAGAGCGAGGACCAGACGAGCGTGACGGAGGACATGTGGAGGATCACACGCAACTACGCCTGATCTAGTTAGAGTTATATCAAAGACATCATCATCATCATCATCATCATCACAGATGAAAACGTTTGTTCCATTTCAAAATTTCACAAATTTCTAATTCCATTCAATTCAGACTTCAATTTCAATTCAGTATTGATTAATTTGGATTTATAAACAATCTAAAATAAAAAAAACTTCAAATATAGGTTAAATTAATATTGAAGAACATGTATAATATAAATACGATAGGTGCATATGAAGAGTTCAGATGCAAAAGCCTCTAAATGCCATTGGAAATTTTCTTCTTTAATGATGATTTTTTATCAAGCTTGTATATTTAAGTTCAGTAATTTCACTTAAATAACAATTAATAGGTAATTATCATTGCCATTTAAGTGAAATTACTGAACTTAAATATACAAGTTTGATAAAAATGATCATTAAAGAAGAAAATTTCAAATGGCACTTAGAGGCTTTTGCATCTGAACTCTTCATATATTTACTTTATTATTCTTATAGTTAGCTAACTATTCAGTTTATAAGATGTAACGTTATATACCATAAGTATAGACATATTCCCATTCAGTAAAAGCTTTTCTGAGGTGAATGTGACTGTATTGATCTCTTGTTTCCCAGATCCTGGGTCAAACGTAATAACCCAGGGATTGAGTTATTGCTAGGGCTCTTCAGGAGAGAGCAGTGCAGCTCCGTCAAAATGCTTCTAATATGTGTTTAATGAGCTTAAATGTTTGCGATATGTATATTAAATTATGTAATATATGATTGAAAATAAAGGAATTATCATGCAAGCCAGTGGTTGTGTGGGATATTTTAAAAAAAGTTTAGAGGATTTAAGTTAATTCGTGCACATCCATTCATGTATGAAGTTTAAAAAAACGAATAGTAAAAATGATTCAACTATGCTGGGTTAAATAAACAACTCAATTTGCTGGGTAAAATGAACCCAACATGCGTTGTGTCCTATATTTACCCAGCCCTTGGGTTGAAAGCAGGGTTGTTTTAAACCCAGTGTTTACTAACCCTACTCTGCAGAGTTTTGATTTGTTGTGTTCGAGTTGCGATGTTAAAAACAGCATCTAAGATTGCGACCTTCAGTCGTGTGTGAAAGGCTCCGAGTCGGACGGGTCACATGAGCTCAGAGGAAGGAAAGCAGTCGTCCTGTTGCCCTGGAACGGCTCGACTCATTACAATCTCACCGCGACTGGGAAATATAATCCTCCTGACGGCCTCCGGCTGAGCGTCTCCACAGGAGTGTGTCCCGTCACACACACACACACACACACAGACATCACATCACAGCACAGCAGGAGTGTGTCCCGTCTCACACACACACACACACACCACGACAGGTCTCAGACGCCAGCCGGGAAACAAACGCCCTCAGATCGGGTCAGAACTGGAGCTCAATCACACACACCGGCCCGACGTTAGCAGACCGCCGCATCATCACCAGTCCTTTATCAAGCGTGTCACTGTGAAAATCATCTCGCAAACATCTTCACATCATAAACTGATCTTCTTCCTCAGTGTTTCTGTTTTACAGCTCAAATATTTAAACATTCTTAAATCAACATGCATCTCCCACAATATACAAAATAAACTTGGGCTGAATAATCACAATCAATCGCATCTAAAATAAAAGTGTGTTTATATAATATATATGATGTGTGTGTAATAATTTTGTATGTATATATATATTTATACATAATTTATATAAATATTTTCTATATCTTAAATACTACACACATACATGTGCGAGTATTTAAATATACAAAATAATTATACGCAGTACACACACATATGTAAACAAACTTTCATTTTGGATGCGAATAATCGCGATTAATCGTTGCACAGCCCTATATATATGTATATATCCCCCTATTGGCAGATATTTGTTCTTATTTTAAGCAAAAACTCACTTAATTTTGATATTTTTTCAGAAATCAAAACTTAATTTGTAATTTTGATGTTGAGATGTTTGTGCTGGAAAACCGAGACAGAAACACGGAGGAAGATGATCCGCCTTCTGTGCACTGACCCAAGATCCTCACGCATCACCAGAACAGCAACACATTTATCACGTTTACCACAGTTACCACGGTTACCATGGTTACCACATTTATCACATCTACCACGGTTACCACATTTACAACATTTCACACATTTACCACGGTTACCATTGTTACCACATTTCACACATTTACCATAGTTTCCATGGTTACCATATTTACCACGGTTACCATGGTTACCACGTTTACCACATTTACCACGTTTGTTCGTCTGAACGGCACTCTCACTTCAACTCAGCACAGTTAACTTCTAGTTACTAGGCAACCATACATCCCATTAATCTCCAAATGACATCAAATGCAATTAGCCACACACCCTTCATGCTTGCAGAATTTGGTGAGTGTTCCCCATGGGAATATGAAGTTATGGCCGCTCAAACGGGCATTAATAATGACAGAAGCAATGGGAAGTTAATCGGATAAAAACACTCTCCAATTAAACGCACCACGAGGTCCTCGTCACATCCTCAAACTGAGCGGGCACGCAGAAATCACGCTATTCTTCTGTTATTAGTGTGTGTGTGTGATGAGACAATATCATATCCAGTCACACACACACACACACACTGTACTGACAGCAGACCTGCTCCTCGTGAGAAGATGAAGGCTGATCGGTGTGTTACTCTGAGCAAAGCTGGAATTATCCAACATTCATTTTAATTTCAAATATATCATAATTTAGACATTTGGTCAATTTCAACGATGTATATATAATTTAGACATTTTATGACGGTTGATAAGACTAAGCCAAAATTATGACATCTGTTTTTGAAACTATAACAAAGTTGAAAATTCATGAAAATTCAGTAATCGCTAATGCTCTTTACACACACACACACTCAACAACATGAAGCATTGCTTGCTCACTGGTTGAGCTAAACTGGTATTCTCTAATTGTGGAGTTCAATTGAACAGCTGACAGATATTCAACATAACTCATGTGTGTGTGTGTGTGTGTGTGTGTGTGTGTGTGTGAGCGTGTGTGTGTGTGTGTGTGTGTGTGTGAGAGAGTCCAACAGAAGGACAGACAAAACCAGTCAAATATCAAACACTGATCTGCTCATATTATCACCGTTCTCCAAACTAGAGCCAATAAACTGATGATGATGATGATGAAGGAGTCTGAATAATGCTGGTTTGACTGAATATTCATATTACCATGAAAGTTATTGCTCAGAAATTCCTAATGAGACTTAATGGAGATCTCAGTGCAAACTTTGGCATCATGAGACAAAACAGTGTGACTTTAAAACATTACAAAAGCCCAAACTGGAGGAAACGTGGGATTACTGGTCCTTCTCTTCACTTGAGGAGGAGATCTGGAGTCTGATTCTGGCAGATAGTGTGTTTCTCAGGTCGTTCAGAGGATACATCACACACGACACGACACACGCGCCGTAAATTAATTAACCGCTACGGTCCAGATTAATGGAAAAATTCATTTGTAATTACTTGAGGCCTTCTTAAGCGGTAAATCTCGGCGCGGCCTGCTTTCAGATAAGAAGAGCACAGGGTAATTAGAGAAGCAGAATTACCCAGGGTGCCGAGCGACTGTGGCGTTCCTACTGTACTCACTGTAGGTCATGTGACGCGTTCATTAGTGCAGTGGGACGAGCCGCAGGGGATCATGAGTGTGTGAACGTCTTCTTACCTTCCCGAAGCTGCCTTTCCCGATGGCGCGCAGGATCTGGAAGTGATCGAAAGTCACTGCAAAGGAGAGAGACGAAACGACATTAATGAAGGAAACGTCATGTTGATAACCTCTCAATTAAAACAGTCCAAATTATGACATAAAATATCAAAATTATGATAAAGTTGAAATTATGACAAACCGAAATAATGATAATATTATAACAAAGTCAAAATGATTTGATTGTCATAATTTCAACATTTTATGTCATTATTCTGATTGTCAATTTCAGCTTATTTCCACGGTCATAAAATATTTAAATTATACATGCATCGAGTCAATTGAAATGATGACAATTTTGACTAATCATTTCGACTGTCATCTTTTCACAATTTTATGTTAATGTTGACTTATCATGATTTAGACATCTGGTCAGTTTCAACAATGTACATATTATTTAAAAACATTTTATGCCATTATGACAGTCAAAATTCGAAATTATAAAATTGAAATTATGACACTCAAAATAGGCAAAATGTCAAAATTGCAACCAAGTTGAAATCATGAGAGTCAAAATTATGACATAAAATGTACACAATTATGACCAATTTCACAAATTTTGACTGTAATAATTTTATGTTAATTTTGACTTATAATTTAGACATTTGGTCAATTTTCAAAAATATAGACATTTTATGACATGTGAAAATGTGACAGCCAAAATGATGATATAAAGTAGAGCCCGACCGATAAAGGATTTTGAAGGCCGATACGATACAAATATTTTTGGGTTTTAAAATCCGATATTCCGATATATCGGCCGATATTTTTTTTAGTTATTTTTTTTTTTTAAATTGGACCTGGTAATCACAAATTTTGTCCTGCTTATTTGAGTTAAGAGAACTGATGGGGATGTTCTTTTAATTGTTATTCAAGCAATGTATGTATCGTGACCAACTCAACGAGTGTTGCCAACAGGAATGGTGTAGAGCGCCCTCTGGTGGACAAACTATACAACTCCAACACTCATGACATGGTTCAAGCGTGTTTCGTCCGTTTTTATTTTATTTTTTAAATAGTCATTTATCGGCCATTATACCTGCCGATACCGATAGTTTGGAAAATGCCTAATATCGGCCGATAATATCGGTCTGCCGATATATCGGTCTTGCTCTAATATAAAGTGTTGAAATTATGACAAAATTATGACATACTACTTTAAATACTATATACATACTACTAGAAATTATTGTGAATAGTATGAAGTATGACATATGAAATGGATACATATGAAAAGTTGAAATTGAAAAGTCAAAATTATGACGTCAATTAAAACAATTCTGACAAAAAATGAGATTCGTTTTCGAGATTCGTAAAAGTCAAAATTATGACATACTAAGACGAAATTGACTTAAGTACAATATATGTCACAAAATTATGATTTACCAAAGCATGATTATTTCTTGTGAGGTGTAAATGGGCTTCTATAAATATGAAGCGTTGAGAGGTGAATTATACGTTAGAAAGTGAAGAGAGAGAGCGAGCGGCCAAACGTCTGATTAAAGCAAAACTGTCAATCAATACTTCAGGTCATAAAAAACTCCAGTGTGTGTGTGTGTGTGTGTGTGTGTGTGTGTGTGTGTGTGTGTGTGGTCATGAGAAAACCAGCTCATCGATTTAACCTTTCTCAAGTCAGCAGAAACAAACATCAACACAACAATCACATTATTATGATTCTGTCTGCATATCTCACGCATTAACTAATGCTGTAAACGACTGGAGTTTTAACTTAATTACGTGGAGCTAAATTAAGCCACTCTGAGATGCATTAAGCGATTTATTTCATTAGATCTGTATTTAACGATAACACTGCTGTGAATGTTGTGCTCCAAAAACATGTTTTCCGTCTCAAATGTCCGTTCATGAAAACGGTCTCGAAGCAGAGATGATGAATAGAGTCCAGAAGCAGCTTCGCTCCACTAATGGCTTAATGTGCTTCTTTCTAACAGCATTCTCTCTCTCTCACACACACACACACACACACACTTGAGAGGACGCCCCAGGTCACTTCTGAAGAGGAGATGTGAGTGTGTGTGTCGAGTCGGTCTAAAGATTCCCAGCATCTCATTCTTCATCTGGTTTATGGGTTATGTATAAAGCGTATGGAGGTAAAACCATAAAGAGCCGCGTGCGCAGCGTAAGATTGTGAACATCGCCTACAAGTGTAAGAAAATAAATATGTGCAGCGTGTTTCATGTCCTTTAGTATACGTCTACAGTGTGTGTGTTTCATGTTCTTTAATATGACTCTAGCATGTGTGTGTTTCATGTTGTTTCATATTGGTGTAGTGTGTGTGTTTGTGCAGTTCTTGGCTGTGTGTGGGAAGTCTGGCGTCGCGTTATCAGACTTAAAAAGACTAAATAAAAACAGCAGCCATTCTGATGACTAACAACGTTTAGCCATTTGTTCGCTGGAACGTAATCAGCGTCGGTACGCTTCTGTTCCCAGAATATGCAATAAACCCTGCTTTTATCTGACAGTTACAGAGATATTACACATCAACCATCTTCTCCACACACACACACGGATAACAGCTGCAGCTTTATATTATATTTAATATTGTTCTGTTTTCCGCTGGTGAGTCAGCAGATGTCAGACGGGTGATGATGAAGATTCCCAGTCGCCTGCTAATGGATCCCAGAGCCAACAATAACACTGATGAAGACGATCTCGCCACAAGATATAACGTCCAGCAATCTCTTCAACATTATATATAATATACACTCACACTGTAGAAAAAATCTGTTACATTTACGGTAAAAAACAGTAGCCGTGGTTGCCAGAAATTTACCGTAAAAAAATAATAAGGTAGCAAGAAACATTAAGCAAAAAAAGGTATTTAACTATCTGATAATGTTTATTTAAGACCTATTAATAGACCTATTAATCGTGGATATTCCCCCCAAAATAGTTTAAAAAATAGTTTAAATTCTACAATAACTTGTTCTTTTTTATTTCATAAAACTGTCAATTTATTTTACTGTAAAATTACATTAAATGTAAAGTTCAATCTATCACAGTTATTTACCGTATAAGTAACAAAACTTTCTATTAACCAATTAAAATTGTCCATTTCACCGTAGCAGTTTTTACAGTGTTTTACCGTAAATTTTTTACAGCATGTTCATGAATGTAAAGGCAAATATACTATATAGCAAATCTGTGTAAATCTGATAAATGCATGAAGATATTAAGATATAAACAATTACATGTTATGATATTAATGTGTGTTGTGAAAAGTGTATAAATTTGAATGAATAAAAATATTAAGAATAACAAATATTTAAAGGATTTAATGTTTCATGATAAAAGACTTCTAGAAAGGTATAATATCCGAAACATGCACATCACCAAAAGCAAAAACAACTTTCTGAAAGTGACGTGTAGTTTCATGTTGACTTTGAGTATATCTGTATTTTAGGATATGATCTCGCTGAAGCTTTGGCTTATTTCCCGACAGCGGTTCAGTGTTCGTGGGCAGAAAAAACACAGACAGGAAGTCATTAGTGTCCGTTCCTGTCGGAGGTCCATCTCATCCCACACACACACACACACACACACACCTCTGCCTACTGACAACAGGCCTCAACACACTACAGTAGCCATATAAATTATACACATACTCGCTCTCACACACACTCCTTCTCCAGTAAACGCACCCTGATTTAAGGACGTTTATATGTGTATGCTGGGAAACGGACAGAAACACTGAGGAAGAGGAGGATCATCACACAGTAAACGTGACGCAGACGTTCTCGAATCTCCCGAAGAGAACACCGTCTCTCTGAATACATGACTTGTTTGTTTTGGGAGATGCTGTCATCGTTTGGCATTAATTATGCAAAAAGAGATTATGCAATTTTCATAAGCTTTTCCTTATTAATCACAATCAAGGGCAGAAACGGCTCCAGGGCTCAAACAGCGCTGCACTGATGCATGATGGGTAATCTGAAGCGCAGTGGCTCATAAACCGAGCTCGAGATCACATGAGGAACGCCATCAACATCATCAGAACAACTCAGCTTTATTATTATTTCTACAGCGCTTTAATCGAGTCGGCTTTACAACACAGAGTTTCAGAGGCGCTTAACAGGATAACAGGAGAATAATGCAACAAAGTGTGTTTACAGAAGAAAATACTGTCATAGTCCAGCTTAAGAAAGTGATATTTCATATTTTATCTGGAGAAAAGTGTGATGTCATCGTCCAGCGTTATACAGTAGAGCGACTTCAGATTGATGAACCCGAATATAAGAGTCAGAATCAATGATTCATCAAATACAGTAGAGTCAGTACAGTAGAGTCTTTAGAGCTTCTTATACTGTAAAAGTCTTTGGTTGGGCCTGAAGCAGAACTTCATGAGAGAACGATCAACCTAATGTGCAGAAGAAGCAAAAAATGTTCCTCCGTAAATCAAACAGTCTGAAGGCAGACGACACAAAGTCTGGCTCTGAAACATCCCTCGTCCCCGGAGAGAGAGACAGACACCACGAGCTCCAGAATCTCATGATGATCGATACGATACGACTGCAGAAACACCAACAGCAGACTCACACAACACTAACTACATCACGACACCATCACAACCTTAACCCCATCACGACACTAACCCCATCACGACACTGACCCCATCACGACACTGACCCCATCACGACACTGACCCCATCACGACACTGACCCCATCACGACACTGACCCCATCACGACACTGACCCCATCACGACACTGACCCCATCACGACACTGACCCCATCACGACACTGACCCCATCACGACACTGACCCCATCACGACACTGACCCCATCACGACACTGACCCCATCACGACACTGACCCCATCACGACACTGACCCCATCACGACCCTGACCCCATCACGACCCTGACCCCATCACGACACTGACCCCATCACGACACTGACCCCATCACGACACTGACCCCATCACGACACTGACCCCATCACGACACTGACCCCATCACGACACTGACCCCATCACGACACTGACCCCATCACGACACTGA